GCGTTTTAGAGTGTGTGTTTTATTTCTGATGTCTGATAAATTTGTATGCATATTTGTGCTGACTGAACAAGCCTTGTGTGATATCTAAATCTGTTTAATTCTTATAAAGACATTTGAAAAGTAATTTTTGGGGAGTCATAAAGCATGATTTTTTTTTAAAATATTCTTTTTTTCAAATGAAATGTTAATTGAAGTATTCTTTGACGTGCATCTTTGATGTGTTGAAGCCTTTGAAGTTATATCATGGGATATAATAGCATGTGTCTGCGTTACTTCTGTCAGATGCTGGTATATTACGTACATGCGTTGTTTTCTTTTCGTGATTAAGACTAATTAAACTATTCTGGTTTTCTGACTTTTTTCCTATTGTGGAATCGGTGGTGAATATGACAATAGACAATTAAATGTTTTAAGTTCCTTATAACATTCACACCCGAAGTTATTTAATGTTTTAAAATGGACAAAATCACACATCATTTGGCCTTTATACGATATATAACTTTAATTAACTGTTTTCATAGCAATTAACTCGTTTTTTGTTTTTCTTGCAAATACCCCCTCAGTGGTTGTTTTTGTCGCGATGTACGAATAGAGGCTAACGCAATCAATTGAACATGTTCGAGACGTTAACCTTTGGATGCTAATCACAGATTTCCTGCAGGTCCCCTTGAAGAACATGTTTATAAGAATGATTTAGCAGAGCAGCGACACCAGTAAATTCTATTTTTAATCCTTCTAAAAATAGGAACTTATGTTTTTAAAAAAAAATATCCTTCGTGAAAAAAAAAATACAGTACACCTTTGTGTGAAATTGTCTGTGATAAAAGCCTCAGAACTGACATTGTTTATTAACCCTGTAATATGTATTATCACAGTACCGTAAATCAAATAGGTATATATTAATTAATTGCAACATAACAGGCCTTTATCTTGAAAATCAATTAAATCATATGACAAATTAATAAGCCTAAAAGACTTCTTATTTTTCCAACACTTAATTACAATATCACTATAAAACATTGTAATCCTCACGTCGCTTACAAACATGACACACAGGTACTTTACATACGACAATACGATACAAGACATATTGAAAAGTACCATGCCCCTTCCATTTTCATAATAAAAGGGAGTATTTTTTAGACATTCAGTAAGACATCGTTTTTAACATTAAATAATAGTGTCTTTGTCTCTTTGATCACTCAAATACTATAAAGAAACAGTTGTGAAAAATAGGATGTAATGCGCCTGGAAATCATATTTTAACCTTTTATTCTCCTCATAACCTTTACTTATCATTACTTGTCCATAAATGACAAATCTGTATAATAAATTGAGAGCTTTGTTCCTTAAGGTCAGACGAGACGTTCCTCAAAATTTGTTTTGTATATATTCGTAATGTATGAAAAATATTTAAAATCTTAATAACATTCTGATTTCTAAACCAGTTTCTAAACGTTTTTAAAAAATCCAAACACTTAAATATTTGAAATTAGAAAATTATTTTTCTTCCCCAAAGGATTATATAAGAAAAACTACCGCTGATATCTTGCAGAAATGCCTGGTAAGGTACCTCAATTTTTTTGTGAGTAAACATGTTTAAGTAACAATACTTCAATGACAAACTCTTAGAAAAATGTATCTATTATTAATTAAAACATTGCTGTGACGTCAAGCCTTTGTTCTTGCAGTCTAAAAATTTACCTGTAGCCGTCCGATAATAATAATTACCAGTCTGATAATATATTATCGGACGGCAATGATAACAAAATCGGACGGTATTTAAAAAGCAAAAAGAAGAGTGAAATTAAGATTAAATATGTCCAGAAACCCCCAATAAAAATGTTTGGAAAAAAATTAGGGAAACCAAACGCAAGGAAATTAAGTTGATCACAGTACAAAATAGCAAATCCATGAGAAAAATTCCAAGTTTAAACCTTCCACGACATTAATTTTCACTCTTTAAAAGAGTTTTTGAACAAGCGAATTTAAATCCATTTCTGAAAAAAAAAGATTCTGCAATCTCCTTTTATGTTTGTTCCCTGATGGCCACACTTTCAAAACCTGAGAATTTCCATTATCTTAGCTAAAAATTCAGCTAGGGTAAAAATCCGCATTTTACTTGCCATGGTGATGGTTAAAATATTACCCAAAATTATGTCAGTATCAATGTCAATTTATGCACATCATAAATAAAAATGTTCCCCCAAGAAATCTTTCACCACCGTACCCCTGTCCTGCTAAACGAAACGACTGCCATTGAATGAATGAAATTAATGAAACAAGATTCACTCACTTTTTTACCGTTCACTCATTTCTTTTATCTACTTATCAGACGGGTAGAAAACAATGGATGCTTGAACTCCCATTGTGTTATTATCGGACTCCTCCAGGTAACTTTTGGACATTTAAATGGCAATGTTTTAAGTAAGATATATGCCTCATACTATTCTATATGTAAAATTATCAGACAGTTTTCGGCCCTAACGGGCCTCAAACAGTCTGATAATTTTACATATAGAACAGTATTCGGCATATATCCATTACGGAACGTCTCGTCTGTCCTTAAGGTTACTCGAGGTATTTAGCACCTGTGCCCGCTATTTTATTTATGTACAGTCAGTTTATTGTTCAACTTTTTCCTTGGAAGAAAATTATTTAGAACCAGTTGTTAAGGGTAATTTGGGTCCAAAGCCCCGGCAACACTATGACTGTATGACCACGGAGAACGTGCCAGCTGGCGCCTCGGATACACTGCGTGCCGTTAGGACGCCATCTGCCACGGGTAGAAAATCTCTCTGGCTCTCTTTGTCGTCTGTGACGCTGTAGATAAATGTACATAAGTGCTTAATATGACAAAAGGCACGCGCCGTGTGTCATTTCCCACCTGCCAGACCGAGAACACGAAGTTTAGAATCAATAAAGAACTCGCAAAAATCAAGACGCTATCTCGTATTGTTAAATTTTATCCTTTTCAAATTAGGTGTATCAAACGCCTGCTCGCGTTACCTTATGTCGGGTAACTTGAAAAGAGTCATATTTAACTGACATTCCAGTGGTGGAATCTACCTCCCCCCAAATTGTACACGACGACAGTTTTTCACTTAAATTGACCACAATCTGATGACGTCGCAGTTACGTCTTTTGAAGCCAGTGTTGCTTTGGGAGGACACGATACAGGATACATGTAACTCCACCAAACAATCAATACAAATCTTAACTCTTCCTGTCTCTGGCAATTAATTGTCTTTGTTATATCCTTAACTTATGCTTTGTCTGGAAACGTTTCAACAGGTGTGTTTCCCGTATAATTTGATTAATAAAGGCCATTTGGTCTTTACTTAGCTGAAATCAGATTTTTCTAGATTTTCCATTTTTTTAATTAAGGAAATGCGATTACATTTGGAGGTTGCAATACAAATGATATTTGTGCATAAACATTCTATTGATTGTTTTGATAATGCTTAGCCCTTGGATCTGCATTCAACCCACGTGCCTCTGTTAGGGATCATCACACCCTGTATTTAACCTTTGTTATTGAAAAATAAAAAAAAGAACACGTTTTGAAACAATTATTTTGAAATCATGGGCGTAAAGACACGGATTTGGGTACAGCTAAACATAGAATTCATTCACAATGCTGACTCATTTAAACGTCTCTCCCCATCTGATTCGTGATGCTATATATAGATTTATATATAAAGACCCCTTCTGACAACAGTAAGGCGTTATAGTGATCGTGACTGTCACCTGCGTTAAACGTCCTGGGCTGATGACCAGAGATTTCACCTCGCCTGGATGTCAGTGTTAGGAAGCAAAGCTCCCAGCACCTTGTAGTTTGGACTTCGTTTTTGCGTATGCATGGTACATTAAACTTCTATTTGTATGCCTCTACACATTATCTAAAAATGTATATACATGTAGATAGGCAGAGGGATATAACATTTCTGTATTGACATATATTAAGAGTCAACCATGCTGAAGATGCAATCATAAAGCAATAAGGAAAAATCACTCGTGAAGCAAAATGGAAATTAAGCGAAATAAAAAGACCCCTTATTACTTACATGTTTTACGAATTAATTTTCGACCAGTTGTACTAAATCTTTGGATTTGATTTGCCTCACTTCTAGGTTGTAAAAAAAATCTTCGATCATTCACCCCTTGGACAATGGAGTGTATTGCGCTTAGCTATTAAATTTAACTGACATTCAAATCAGATAGAACTGTGTTGTCGTCCAAATCAATAACCCAGGGTGATATGTACATCATTAACACACTGACCTAGCGAGATGACGGTCCGATTCCTGAGAGTTACAGAACCAGACGGACATTGACCCTCCGTACAAACTCCAATCGATAATTTGTATAATACAAGATAGTGGTGTGTGTTGAACCGTCACTAAAGTATTGATGATGAATGATTAAGAAATAAGAAATGAAAATTCCAGATAACTAAATGTGTATATTAAACAACAAGGTAAACTCAGTTGTAACAGAATCAATCTGGTATTTTGTCCTTGACCGAGCAGAAAGTCTTAACAGGTTTTTCTGTCGTAAACCAATTCTCAGCTTTATTTCCTTTTTCCTTACAGTGAAGAATGGTGTTGATTGTTGAAATTAATTAATGATAGGTAAACATGCAACACAAAGAGTTGGTTTTGACGCAGACCAATGATTATTAGATACTCAGTATCTAGAATCAGCTTAAAGATCTGCCCATATATGGCATACTCCAAGACATTTGTTCTAGGAAATAGTATGTAGGCGTACGAGGAAAGGAAGCAGGACCCGGTAATTTCAGCTATATCGTTGGTTGAAAACGTCTATAAATAGTTCTAGGCCTACACTTACATGTGTTGCGTACATTTTTTTTATTTATTGGGAAAAAGGTAAATTGGCCAACATCTGCAGGAAACCCTTTTCACTGCTTTACTTTAAAGAGAATCCGGGTTTTTACTCACTTTTACCCCTAGTTTTTATGAACAAAAAATTCATAATATCTTTTTAAATGATATATATTTTATTGAAATTTAACATAATAAACATAACACATTAAATAATCAACAAAATTTTAGGAAATAACGATGTCCATTGTAACAGTTTTTACACTTTGACCCCTCTGCATGGGGCTGCATTCTGGTAAGAATTATTCGGAAGTGTTCTCGATGGATTGACTGGTAAGCACTATTTTGGGGGACTTTTGGAGGATCTGAAGCTTATGTCCATTTACTCGGCTTCCTCCAGGTCACCATGCGTCCTGTTGTTCTCCTCCTGGATTTGTTACTTCCAACGAGATATTAATGTTTCCTTGAGTTTGACCAGAAAATGGGCTTTCTCTATAAAAGGACAAATATATTTATTGGTAAATGCCATGATTTTTACGGTCCATTTATTGAAGTTTATCAATTGATATAATTATTTTTTGTGAAAAGCTTTGAACATTTATTGTACCTGGTGTAAATAAAAGATGAAGTGGTTCTGTGATCAGACAGGCATTTCTACAACTGGTCCATCAGCAACATCCATAAGATCATTATAGACATGGTCAGTCTGTTCAGGAGCGGTGACTAAAACACAACTGCAGTCAATAACATTCGTGTTGGAGCTCTCTTTTCCGGAAAAGATGCTTTCCAGTTTCCCTAAACTGTCAACCTGTCAGAATAGAAGGTCACGATTAGAGGAAGTTGTTTGGTTTTTCATAAGAAGGACATGACGCAGTTTTATCAATGAATAGGAAGTAAGCACGAATTGGGTAACCCATCAAAGTTTCCCGTTAAACACTGAATTAAATTTCCCAGAAACCAATTGATCTAGATACACATATAGCAATATATGCATTTTATGCAAATCAATAGTCAATGGGTGTTGCAGAAAACAGTCAACTGCTTGACAGAAAAAGATGCATAAAACCTACCTTTAACAGTTTTATATCGTTTTCCAAACAGAAAGCTTCCATTAAAGTGTGATGAATATGCACCGTGACGTCATTGTTGAATCCAGTAGGAAGGACACACAGTGTTACATCATCCGGATTTCTGCAAAAGTAAATGAAGACATGAAAATAAGGTCCTTCCAAACATTTATGAAATCAAATTACAATTTATCACTTGAAATTATATGAACCCAAATCAAGAAAATGCAATACTTACGTATTCAGAAGCTGAGCACATTCATAAATGCCAAATGTTGTCCGACCATCCACTTCGGCCTGGATAAGAACATCTTTGAGCATCCGTCCCGTGTTTGCATTCCTGCAAAAGGACAGAAATAATTATTAAAGAATTAAAATAAAACTATTCATGTAAATCCTTATATATTTTGTTATAGAATCTATGTCAAGTTCAGTACCAAATGTGTTATTGGGCAAAAGTTCAACAACGAAGTGGAGAGATTTCCCGCAAAACATTACATTCTGGTATTTAAAAGCAGCTCGTGATTCATTTACAGTAAACAATAAACAAGGTCAGTATATATACATGTATATGCGCATGTATAAATGTGTGATGAAATCCGATTTCGACTGACCACTAAATAGCCCAATTTCTAAGTGCAAGTTTTGTCACACAATGTTACTTTTAATGCAGAAATATTCTATTTGAAATGCTTTGACACTTTTGTGACTTATTATTAACCTTAACACGTGGAAAAATCAAGTTTCAAGAATAATATTTTAAAAACTTACCTTTTTTCGTTTTGCATCATGGATTCGCAATTGTCAGGCAAAGTCATAGTAAAACTAAATCCTTAATAGATTAGAAAAAAGACAATCGTATAATATACGTCTGCACTTCCAGAAGAATTCTTTTGTATAATCATAAACGTGAATACACAAAGGTTTATACCAGGAAACAGGAAGGTGGAGTTGAACTGATTTAGCGGACGTTCATTGGCTGAAAATATTTCAATATGGCAGATGGTGTCCTTAGAAACAACTCGCTTCGAAATTTTCATTTAAAAGTTACCTGTTATGCATTGCTAAAAAAACAATGAAGTGAATGAAAATATGCAATGCTAAATGTTATTTTGTTATATTGCAAATTGCAATGGCGTATATTGGCAGCTAGGTCATATATTGATCGAAAAGTACTTGCAAAAATCAAATTCTCCCTACCTTCAATGAGTGTTTACAAGGTGCAAGCACTTTGGACAACGTATATTGATCCAACGTGGTGCCAACGTGTATCGACCTTAATCAACTCGTACTGAAGTCCTACCAGGGTATTCCCCTGTATATTGCGTGTCCTCTGAAGTAATTTTGGGCTTCTGCGACATATTGTAAAACCTGGAAGATTTTTAAAAATGCAAATATGCAAATGTCATTACGATATCTTTTTTTTTTTTTTTTTTTTTTAAAAAGAGACATATGGCAGACACAGAAAAGAAAGATGGTTTAATTCAGCAATATATATGGGATGAAAAACAATACACCCTTAAGCTGCAATCGGTCAGAACGAGCTAGGTACTCCCAGTGCATTGTTTCAAAAAGTCAGTACCTGGTAGTTATGGGTTTTATGGAGTTAAAGAGGTTTAAAATTTAAAGAGATGTTTTCAAGACTCGTCCATCCTTTTTAACGCAAAGAGTCCCCTATTGCTGCGTATCCCCCCCCCCCCCCCCTATCGTTCACATTGAACCCAATTGTCCCTTAGTTGAAGCTGTGGGGACTTTAATCTTTGAACGAGTTGTGTATTGGCACAAAGAACCGATAATCTTGACTCGTCATTGTGTTATGTACAGTAGGTAGTCACAAACGCTAAGTTGTTTATGATTCATCAATGGCCGGTCACCCTGAGTCAGTGTCTGTAATGCACTTGAATCATCATCGCTTACTAACTTGTAAGCTAAACGTTACCCCCACCGAAGCACCTGCCATAGAATTCTGTCGACAGAGATGAGAAATGTGTCATGCTTCTTCAGAATGAAGAATCGATGTACACAAATGCTTCTTCAGAAAGAAGAATTGATGTATACAGATACATTCAACTACCATGGGTATTTTATTATTAGGCTTATATTAGGCTATTTTATTTATTCTATTATAATTTTATCGTTATTTAGCCTTCATTGTCAATTTTCCATGTCTACATTCCATATATTATGTTTTGAAAATTTGAAACTTCTATTATTCGGGTTAACGTAATGGACCAGTTCTGCATTTCGCTTTTGCTGCTTTAATTATTTTTATAAATGCAGGTTAAGTATACAAACAGCTACTTTTCAGGTTTAAATAAATCGTAACTGACGTGTAATTAAAAATCACTAATTTACCTCAATTAACTTTACTCTGTTTTTTTATCATGGACTTTACACGCTCGGGTTTAAAAAATACAATTTTAGCATCGCTCCATGTAAGAAACAATACCGGTCACGACCTATAAAGAGATAAAGAGTGTAATCTGTACACACAGGTAAGGTAGTACAAAACAGGGCTCACCTGCAGTGTACCTTACCTACAGGGTCATTAGTGACCCCCAGACCTCACCTAGCAGATTAAAGCTATATCCGCTTCTTTATCAAGGCTTGTACCTCCATTTACTCTTTGAAGTAAATGGTGTCTTTGATGTTATTGTGAAGAAAGATTAAGTTAAGAAAGTGTTGTAAAAAAAAATTGTTGAGCGTTTTGTCTGACAGTATGCCTTGCAATCCAATACATCACAGCTTGAACGAGGATATGCACCAATGATTCTAAGCTTCTGGTGTTATGTCTGTACCTGGTTCAGAAAATCAACTACATCCATTGTGAGTCAGCATTAGCACAAAGCTTTTCATCGCTGACTTCTTTGATTTGTAAAAACGCCCGTTTCCCTGTTTTGTGTCTATACTCCTATAAAAGTCAATCAGTGCATTATCGCAACAAAGTCGAAGGCCTTGACAAAGGAACAAAGAAGTCTCCAAGACTTTACCTGCACTTGCATATACATGCATTTCAGACTCTTAGTTTCCTTTTTTGTTGACACTTTTTGATGACTGGCATAATTTTATAATGTGCTGGTTAGTTAATTCTTGCTGTAGACTTTTATAACTGTGACCTTTCTCTTCTTTTCCTGGCCTCTATATGCCTGAGTTACCTTGACGGAGTTCAATGAAAATGAAACTTTTTTGAAGAATTTGATAAAAGGTATTAATTATTAAGACTGACAATGCTTCAAAAGTCTCCGAACAGCAACAACAAATAAATGAGACAACATACAAACCACAATTAATTATCCAAATATTAAATCAAATGCATAATGATTGCGATTTCTTGGATCGCTTTAAATGGAATAAATTTATTCGGATGATGTATTTTTAGTTCATAATTTCTAAATTGGTTTTGCAGAAAGGTCTTTATATTAATAAGCAAAATATATTCGTCACAAAATACTAAGTATATATACTAAAGGAACAACGGACGGCTAAATACCGCAAAGTCTGACGTCAACCATAACTTTGGGAGATTTCGACGTGTTTTTACTTATTTTTAAAAGAAGTTTTAGCACTTTCACCTAATTTGAAAGTGTTTGTAGAATGTTTTCATTAACAAGAAAGGTCACTTTTTAGAGTATGTAAAAAATAAAATTAATTTTAAACAGATTATGATCTATATATCTCATTTTTATTTCAGACCAATTAATGAAAATGTCTACGATTATGCCAGACGCTAACAAAACAAGCACGCTAAATGTTACTAGTCCATCAGTAAGACACAAACTGTCTGATGTAAAAAAAAAAAAAATTAAATTTTACAATTAAGTCCCCCATACCCATTCAATAATTAAAAAAAGGTGGAAGGGGTAGAGAGAGGATCTCCAAAGTCCATCTGTTGCAATATGTTTTGATTTAGTAACAACCGGTTTGTGTTGACAGAAAGCTCTGATTTACTGATTGTATATTGTTTAACTTCCCTCTGGAGAATTTTTCACTCAATATGGAGACGCCACCACTTGCCGGTGGAGAGCTACAAATTTTGTCCAAAACTCTGCACTTAGGGCCATTGAGCAGAGAGGGATCTTTTTCATGTCAGCACCTACTGCAACAAGGGACATCGGTTTATACAGTCTCATCCCAAGGAACGGTCTCCATATCCCACGGCTGGATTAACCCACGACTCCTTACTTCGCAACTCTAAGAGCTGACGCTCTCACCACTGCGCTACACGGGGACCGAAGAGCTCTGAAGTAAAATGGTTAAGCATTTCAAGGTCAAAGTTCAAGGTAAATTATTTGCTTTCCATGCAGTTATTGTGTGTATTCTTGGTACAATATGGTCTTAAATTTTCTCGATTTACGATATGTAAAAATTACAGCTAGGTGTTACTCATGATGGTGTTCGTTCACATGTTGAAAACGTATCTATTTATCTATATCTCCTGTAAAACGGAAAAATGAACTAAGAAAGTGTTAAAAGACGGGCGTAATACAGTCTAAATAACGCAAAATAGCAATTATTTTTCTTTCGAAGTTGATCCTAACGTGATATAGGTACGCACATCTTTATTACTTGTTATAAGTCTACATGCGCAATGGTTACACGTTGTATTGGAGAAATGGCAGAAAACGCAGAAGCGTCAGAATTTCTACATTTACCCTTAACATACCGGTATTATCGAGGCAAGGAAAACATGTACATGAAATGGCAAAGTCCGGCAATATTGCTTGAAAAATTGACCTTGGTAGAAAGCTGTGTCATGTTCTATATTTTTTTTTTGAGATTCGGACTGAATCGTTATCTTATTTCAATGAATTAGTGATTAAAGAGAATTATTATCTTATATGGTAAACATTAATTATTTTTTGTTAATTAAAATTAAAAAAAACGTCCTGAGACCAGATTGATTACCAGCTAATCTATACTTCTGACTGGAATAAACAAGATTCTTTCCATTAAACTTCTTGAATTGTTACGCGGATTCGATGTCTTTCATTTCAAGTCATTGACTCTTGTAATTATTGTGTTAATAATAATACAATAAAGCAACTGGAAAACATATTTTTATAAATGCACACAAAGAACATCGAATATCATGGCATTTTCCAGAATGGAGTGGTGAACAGTATTTACCAGAAAATTAATTATTCACCAAATTAAGTAGTGGGAGTTAATTTAATGAAATAAAAGAAACTGTCTAGAAAACCTTATCGATTTTGAGTGGGACATTCCAGCGTATCACGATGTCGTTCTTTGATTGATTTTAAGCGTTATAAGGCATATATCAAGGTGGCGTTTAATGATCAAACAATAAAATCAAACATTTAATGGAATCGACACCAATGTTGTTAAATGTTAATGATTGTTAATCAGCAATGCAGGTGTGACCCTTTGCCCAATGCACGTCCTGTAATTAAATCTCGGAACAGCATAGGAGGTAGAGGAGGCGCAACATACGAGGGGCGTTCAATAAATAATGTCATTGGGGCTCAGAAAGAAAAGACTATTTTTTCAATGATTTAGTCTTCATGATTTTACTTATTAATCTATTTTAATTCAAAAACATGTCCGTAACATTTTTTATCCAATTTCTGATTGTTTTTAGAACTCATTTTTGGATATGACCCTTAGTACACTGGAAAATGGAAGATCCAATGATTTCCTGGACTTGTTTTTCCCTTCTAAAAGGTGTTTTATTCAAGTTTGGAAATAGAAACAAGTCAAAAGGTCAAAGATCTGGCAAATAGTGTTAATGTGAAAAAACATTAACTTTCTGTTTATCCCGTAAACCCCTTTACTCTTTAGGGCATGCGGGTTTAAACGCTGTCATGTAGTAATTCAATGTAGTGGATTCCTGATTCTGAGTCCTTTCTCTGATATTCCTTTCGATTTCTTTGCAAAAAACTGCTTTCTAGACACCTCCAGATATTAAACT